AAGCAGTGTTGACTGACTCATGTTCATTTTCATTATCTGAGTCAGATGCCACCAGAAGAAGGTTGATTTTCTTTTTTGGTGGTTCGGGTTCTGTAGTTTTTGCATCGGAGTGTTGCTCTTTTAGGACATCTGAAAGCATGCTCCACACCTGTGCCTCTCAGATTTTGGAATGCACTTCAGATTCTTAAACCTTGGGTCGAGTGCTATAGCTATCTTTAGAAATCTCACATAGGTACCTTCTTTGCATTTTGTCAAATCTGCAGTGAAAGCATTTTTAAAATGAACAACGTGCTAGGTCATCATTTGAGAGTGCTATAACATGAAATATATGGCAGAATGAGGGTAAAATAGAACAGGGGACATACAATTCTCCCCCAAGGAGTTCAGTCACAAATTTAATTAACACATTTTTTTTTTAATGCTCATCATCAGCTTGGAAGCATGTCCTCTGGAATGGTGGCTGAAGCTTGAAGGGCCTACGAATGTTTAGCATATCTGGCACATAAATACCTTGCAATGCCAGCTACAAAAGTGCCATGCAAATGCCTGTTCTCACTTTCTGGTGACATTGTAAATAAGAAGTGGGCAGCAGTATCTCCTGTAAATGTAAACAAACTTGTTTGTCTTAGCGATTGGCTGAGAACATTATTGTGTATATTGAATTATTTTAAAATTATTTCATGTTTAAATGTATCTGAAACAGAGGTAGAAAAATAGTACAACAAGCACTCTTAGCTCCATCATAATTCTGAAACCTATTATCTATCTGTGCCAACAGAGGAGCCCCAATTTAGGGTTAGATTTCATCCTCTTTTACACTGACGTAAGACCATAATAACATCATGGAAGGCAGTTAGTATGGATTTATATTGATGTAATTGAGAAGAGAATTTGACCTGTATTTATTTTGACTAGGGCTGTCGATTAATCTCAGTTAACTCACACGATTTACTCAAAAAAATTAATCGGGATTAAAAAAATTAATCACGATTCATCGCAGATTTAATCGCACTGTTAAATAATAGAATACCAATTGAAATTTATTAAATATTTTGGATGTTTTTCTACATTTTCATATAGTATTCTGTATTGTAATTGAAATAAAATTATATATTGTTTATTACAAATATTTGTACTGTAAAAATGATAAACAAAAGCAATAGTATTTTTCAATTCACCTCATACAAGTACTGTAGTGCAATCTCTTTGTCGTGAAAGTGCAACTTACAAATGTAGATTTTTTTTTGTTACATAACTTCACTCAAAAACAAAACAATGTAAAACTTCAGAGCCAACAGGTCCACTCAGTCCAACTTCTTGTTCAGCTTGTGTGTTTTCAGCTACACTGAAAGATAAGATGACTTCATATTAAACTAAACCTGAATAAATCTGAATAAATAAATCTCCCTGTATTTCTCCTTATGAAAAATAATGAATAAGGCCCCTATCCTGAAAACACTTACACAGGTGCTTAACTTTGCTACTATGAGCAGTCCCGTTGAAATCAATGGAACTGCTCATGGTAGTAAAATTAAGCACCTGTATAAGTCTTTGCAGCATCAGGGCCTGAGGAACAGATACCACAATCCTCACTCAGGCAGAACTCTGTGGGATTTATCTGTTTGATCATTACAAATCAAAGCAAATTATTATTATTGTAAAACTGAAATTAATATGAACGCTTTTTCTGGGACTTAATTTGTTGATTTTTGTTTTACTTTTATTCTTATCTGATTTTTTGTTAAAATGCAGGAAAATGTACCATGGGGAATAATCATTCAGTGATAATGGTGCACGAGATGAAATAGAGGATTTTTCATCTCTGATTTCCTTGATTCCCTCACTTAATTTGGAAATTCTGCAAATGATGTGTCTGACTCCACACTCCTGAGCTTATCAAAACTCACACTGGGAGTTTTACCTGAGTGAGGAATTTGAGATCAGCTTTAAAAGGGCTAGTTGTTTAAGAAAGCACTGGCTTGACTGAAGGATGAAGGGAACCTGGGGTTCAGTAAACTCTGTTTCTGCTGATTATTCAGAATTTTTTTCATTTTTGGCCTTCTTCCCTATGTATTATATGTATTGCCTTATGTTATACATTAATGGACAAAAATGCTCTTTAGCAGATCAATAAAAAGGTTGTGGAAACAAATCTCCCAGTGCAAATGTTATCAAATAGCATCACAGAAAATAAAAGTCAGAGGGATGAATTCTCTTCTCGTGTATCTTTACTGAATTCAATGGAGGTGTTCTAGCACAGAATTTGGCCCAGAATACATTAGTGTGTTGTAAGAAACACTGGGACAGAGTCTGGTCACACAGATACCCACGTAAATTAGGAATAACTCCCTGTAGTCAGTGTAGTTATATCAGGGGTAGGCAACCTATGGCACGCGTGCCAAAGGCGGCACATGAACTGATTTTCAGTGGCACTCAGACTGCCCGGGTCCTGGCCACCAGTCCCAGGGGCTCCGCTGCTGGCCTGCGGTACCATTCGCCGGCCCCCTGCCAGCTGGGATTCCGTCCGCTGGCCCTGCTCATCCCGCTGCCGGCCCCAGTTCCTGGCCACCAGTCCGGAGGGCTCAGCTGCCAGCCCGGGGTCCGGAGCTTGGCGGGCCGCACAAAAGAACCCCGCAGGCTGCATGCGGCCCACAGGCCACGTGTTTGAGACCCCTGCACTAAACTGATAAGATCTGCATTTTAATTTAATTTTAAATGAAGCTTCTTAAATATTTTTTAAAAAACCTTATTTACTTTAAATACAACAATAGTTTAGTTATATATTATAGACTTATAGAAAGAGACCTTCTAAAAATGTTAAAATGTATTACTGGCACGCGAAACCTTAAATTAGAGTTAATAAATGAAGACTCAGCACACCACTTCTGAAAGGTTGCCGAGCCCTGAGTTATACTGTACCCTTGTAACAGTGGTGTGAGAGGAGATTCAAACCTAATACATTTAAACTGACATACAAAATGTGACATAGAATGAGACACATAGAAGAAAGAAGCTATATTATAAATGTTTGATGACAATTTCACACAGTTTTCAGGAGCAATTGGTTTATCCTAAAAAAATACAGTTAGGCAGAAAAAGTTGGATCATAATGATAGTGGTATAAATCTGTAGTAAGTGCAATGGCTTCAAGAATAATTTGGCCCACTAATGCTGTATATTTTTTTAAGGAACTGGGATGGTTGTTTTGCTTTGTTTTGTTTATTTTAAAGTATGGGATTATCAGCTCCATGATCAGAACTGGAACCCCCTATATCATCAATGACAGCAGTACATAATGAGGAAGGCATACGATCGTCCCACTTCAATAATTCAATAAATCAGGTCCAATTCTCTCACACTGGTTTGTCATTGGTGCAGTTCCATTGACTTCAGTGAATTTACCTCAGATTCACATTGGTATAACAGGAATCAGATCCATTGTGTTTTTTGTACAAGATAACTTCAAGAAGCAAAATTCAGAGCTGGATTTTGACCCCTAAATTCATGGCTAGATAAATTCTGAATTTGGCTTCAGACAGGGGACCATTTCAAAAATTAGATCAGAATCAGGATTCAGATAGTCAGTCCCTCCCCACCTCTCCCCCCAATTTGGGCTTCTTCTTAGGCCTACCTCAATCCCACACCCTCAAACAAATGATCTCAGCTCCCTTTCTCAGCAGGTGTGAAAGGGAAACAATAGGGCAGGACCAAAGCCATTTAAAGGGATGATGGAAACACCTTGCAGCTGCACCTGTGGGAGATGGACTGCGCCTCTCTCCAAGCCTTGTGAGCTAGTCCTGTTGGGCAGGGACAAGGTCTCTATCCCCGGCAGCCTGGATACACCTGTGTGTGCTGGGGGGGGGGGGGAAGGCATGCAAATAGGCTGAGAGAGGGAGTGGAAAGCTAGCTGCTGATTGGCTGGAGGGAGAGGCTGTCCGGTTAGTTAGGGCACAACACTGCAGGTTACTTACTGGCAGGTGAGGAGATTCAGGTGTGTTCGGTCCAAGTGCAGAGGATACAAAGCAACGAGCTAGGAGAGTGATTTTAGGCAACAGCTATTCTCTAGCATAGTTTTTGTGGGGGGTTCTCTACAGTACCTGAGCATGCAGGGCCATTGGGTTGTGCTAGCTCTTTGCTGGCTAGGGCAGCTGTGTGTGGGTAAGTGGTATCTGTCTGCCTGTAATCTCTCCCACTGAGATTTAAGTCCTTCTCACTTTTTGGTCTGTGATCACAAACAATTAACTGTTTTTATTTCCCCTTTTTTAATTTTAAGGCTTTAGGTGTCTTCCCCCTACCCGCTGGGTTTTGGGGGAAGAGCTGGGATGATCAGGGATTGTAAATCTGTATTTAAATTGCTTTGCTTCAAGCGATAAAGCAGTCCCAAGCAAACTGAGTCTTGTCTTTCTTCTGAGTTAGTCTGGTGTTTGAAGTAGTAGGGAAACTGGGGGAGGGGGGAGAGTGAGAAGCGTCGCCAGACTCAGCCTTGAGTATAAAACTTTTTGCAGGGGTTGTTGCTTATACTGCCCTGGAAGACTTGGGGATGGGGTGAGGTGGGAGAGTCTAGTACTAATCCCTACTTGCATGTGTATGCGCTTTTTTTTTCTTTTTTTCAAGACCATATTTTCAGTATTGCTCTAATCTCAAACTGCTTTTTTCCCCCTTCTAATTCAGGAGACCTAGAGACTGAATGTACCCTCTTCTGTTCCTCTGCTCAGGGCTTGCTGAAATTGCTCTCTATTCCCACTAGGGAGGATATAATAGATCTTCCCATGAGTTCCTTACTAGCACTAACTGTATCCAGAGGTTGCGAGAAGTGACTGTATTGCTTGTGGCTTTGCTCTCTTTCCAGAAAGAAGAGTGGGGTGTAAAAGGGATGGAGCATGACTCAGAAGTATTCCCAGTACAGGGTCCAAAGCCACGTTTTATTTGAAAGGGTCTTATGTCTGAGGGAGGAGGGGAAACTGATTAAATATTACACTTCTATTTCCTGTTTCTTCTAGCTCAGAATTTGAGGCCTCAGATTGCAAACCCCAAACTTGCTACAAACAATCCTACCCTTACTACAATTGCTCTAGAGAAACCTTTCTGTATGTTTGATGATTCACTGTCTCCAGGTAGCTCCTATATGGTCTACTTGTATGCAATGGCTGACTCTGGTAAGTATCTGGTTTTATTTCCTTTCTTTTTCCTTTCTCTCCCCTGCCCTCTTTGAAACTACATAATGTAATTCTTTAAAACTCTATGACCTCCACTTCTGGTGGCAGTGTGTGTGTGACAAGTGCCCACTTGTAATTGGAAGCCAGGGCAAAGAGAACAAGGGCTAAAGTACATATAGAACAAAAGCCAGTTCCTCAGAGAGTGTAAAGTGGTATACCTCTATTAGCTTTAATGGAGCCCTGCTGATCTATACCAGTTGATGGTCTGTTCTCTGCTAGGACTGGTCTTAACAAAAACTTTAGTTCTAGCACTTCAGCATAACAATGAAGTGGGCTGATATTATATTGCCTATGGCTGACTGGTCAGCATAGACAAGAACCAAGCATGTTGACTATTGTCCACTAGTCATGGGTGCTCTAACTACTAATGTTGTACATGACTGGTCCTTGTCTGTTCTGATCCACTCAGCATCAGGTGAGTTAACTGGACTGCTCAAACATGAGTACACTTTCTAATGAGGGGAAAAGATGAGGTGACTTCCTGGTGAGGGTAGTAAAAAGGATGCTTGGATTGCTGCTTCTTCCAACTTTGCTGTTAAAGGATGCAAACTGTAGGGGCAGTCAATTTAGCAACACTTGAGTGCTAAGTGGACGTCAGCAGAGCCAAGTTAATATCAGGAGGCTCGAGTCTAGGCAAAGAAGGATGAGCCTTCAAAGAATAGGTCTCAAAGTAGCAGTCATGTTAGTCTGTATTCACAAAAAGAAAAGGAGTACTTGTGGCATCTTAGAGACTAACAAATTTATTTGAGCATAAGCCATCCGATGAAGTAAGCTGTAGCTCACAAAAGCTTATGCTCAAATAAGTTTGTTAGTCTCTAAGTGCCACAAGTACTCCTTTTCTTCCTTCAAAGAATGTATGTTGAATACAAATAGTAGGCTCAACTAAGCCATGTAACAGCTTAGCAACTATAGCTGTGTCAGTAACAAGGTTCTTTCTCTCCTTAAGTCGGACACAGGAAATGAAACCTTGTGTAAGTCTGGCAGTAACAAACTAATAGCCCAGGAAATTCAATTAGCTGGCAGGCATATCCCTGGCTCCCATGGCTTACTGCATTCTGGAAGGATGGATGTGGAGATGCTTCCTTACTACTAAAGAACTTTAACTCTGAATATTTGAGAACTCCTGAAACAGACTCAACTGTCCTGGGTAGCCGTGAATGTGCTGGTATTATAGGATGTCTTAGTACTAAAACACAACTGTGTCTCATAATGGCTCCAGGCTTCTACCTGTAGAAGTTTTGTTTTTTTTATAAAGACTTTCCTGACATGTGGCTTGTCTCAAAATATTCCACCTTGAAAGCTATCTGTTATGAAACTCCTCTCAAACTATTCTATCCCTTTTACATACAGTAAATTCCATAGCGTGCACTCCATAAATAAAACACATGCACAGCTACAAAGGAAGAACTTCTGCTTGGAGGAATTGTATTCAGCCATTGAAATGAGGAAACCTTTCCTGGCTACTTGTTGAACTGGGACAATTTCTTTAAAGTTTTGTCTCTGCCTTGGAAAGCAGCATGTTTCATCATGCTAAGGTACCCCATACGGTGAGGGGAAGCATTACTGACATGGATTTAACTTCCTCAGAACACTGTGTACATTGTCTAGCCTGGGAGTACTTGGCTTATTCCCTGTCATCAGAGGAACACACTCTGCCTTGATAATGTGCAGAGATCCTCTACTGAATATTTGAGAAGGTAACCCTGATAGGTGTGAGGCTTGATTAGTGCCACATTATTACTAATGTCTGACATGTGAATTTTTTTTCTGGGATTACATTATGGGGTAGATGAAACTTGCCCATGAACTACCACAATACTACTTCATGGTGACTTGTGGGGGTGGGGACTGGTTGGCAAATTTAAATGCATTACGACATATCCAAATGCTTAAAGCTGGGCCTTAGTGCAGCTGCACTCTCAGTACTGACTGTCCCTGGCGGGCAGGAGAGGACTGGGGTGAGTAAAGGCCAGACTATTGCCTTACACTATTTGAAATATTTGGGGGAGGGCTTGGCTCAGCTGCCTCTCCCTCCTGCAGGGATAAGTCCTGCCCCTGCTCCTTGGTACATTCACCAGTGGGTGTGGGGTGGGGCTAGTTATGAAGAGCAGCTGCATGACATGAGAAGAGGAGCAGCGGCATTTTGTGTCCACCTCAGCATGGTGAGGGGAGAGGATGAAGTAGTGGGTTTCCCAAAGATGCCTGCTAAGGAGAAGGTTGGCCCTGGGGTGGGGAGGGATTCTGTTCCATCCCCACATACTGTGCTGTCAGTAGGGGCTGCTCCTCAGTTCTTGTGGTGGGGAGCACCTACAGAGGCAGGAATGAGAGAGCATTTGTAGCCACTAAAAGTGGCAGAGGCTCAAATACAAGTGTGTTTTTGGGAGTGCAGCAGCAGAGCTTGTTGGGCTGGTCCCTGCCCCTTCCTGATTGCTGTAGTGTTGACAGCTGGCCCTCTGTGTGCCTCCTGAGAGTCCTTTGATCTAATGCTAGGAAGGACATACAGAGCCTCTGTGTGAGTGAAAATACCTACAGCCCTCTTGCTTCAAGGCATTCACCCATCCCACCCAGAAGTGGAGCACAGAAGGCTGGGGTAGCCACACAGACCCAAACACCCACTGGGAAGGACACCTACAGGAGCCACTATTGGCTTGTCACTTGAGGGATGACTTGGTTTAATTAACCAGCCTTCCAAGCTTCCTCAGCTGTCCCTTTTCAGGCTGTCTGGGGGCAATACACCCTGACAACTTACTCCACTCTGAAGCGGAGCAGCCCACAGAGGCACTCCCTCTTTCCCAAGGCCGTCTTGTCAGACGGCTACAGGAGCCATTGGGGAGATAGGAGCACAGTTGCTTCTTACACCTCTTGTGGTGGAGGCAAACAAGGCCTCTAAAAGTAAACTGATTCATGGCTTGGTGGGACAGGAGAACAGGTGCTACAGAAAGTGCTTTCCTCCCACCACCAGTGCTGGTCTTGGGTCTATCTCTTCTGGCCTCTACTGTGGCTGCTGTTAGTGATGTAGCAGGGAAGTTGGGGGCTGGGGCAAAGGAAAGGGTCTGTTGGGCCCCTAAAAGTTAAAATTGAACATGGTGGGTCTGTTCGGGTACTTCCTTTTGACAAAGCTGAGGGTTCAGTGTTGACTGGGTGGATGGGAAGGGCACTTGTAACAAACGTTATGCTGAAATATCCAATCTATCTTGCAGCAAGCACTGTAAGCTCAGCTGTGATTGACAATAGCAGTAAACCTCTCAACACCACTTTCCAAGACACCAACGGAGGACAACTTGGACCTTACAGGGCTGCATTGTTTAATGTGCCCAATTGTGCATCACCCCCCATGCTAGCTGATGTTGTAAATCTGAAAAAAGTTTCAGATGTCTTGAAACAATACCTCTTCAGAGTGGGAGATGATGTGACTTGTTTATATGACCCAAACTTCCCTGGTGCCTGTAACCCACCTCTTGCTGAGGATACAACATACAGGTATAGTTCACAATTCTCTTTTGGATAGGGGTGTCCTTGCACTTGGCACTAAGGTTAACTTGGTATGAAACTAACTTGCAAGCTGCACTAATTGATAATAGTGAAACTGTTCCTTTCAACTGCAGGAACAGAGCCCTCACTGCTCCATTAAGGATGGCTCTTAGTAGAGCCAAACGCAAAGATAACCTTCACTGCCCCACCCTTGCTTAAGCCCTTCAGGGCTAGTGGTGTGTCTGGGCTGAAACTAAATTAAATGGCTACCTTTCTCAAAGTTAGTGTGAGATCCTTAATCCTTGTCTTAACTGGCTCTTGTAGAAGCTATTGAATGTCTCTGACTCAGTGCCTGCAGAGCTCTTATTCTCATCTGCTCTAGTATAATACACCAGCTGGTAATCTGACTGTCTCTTCCATGCTTTCCTGTAGCAGGGGAGCCCTGCAGCACCCAGTCTTTGGACACCATCCCAGAAACTTAGTGTAGATCATACTGAATTTAACTAGGAGACACTACTGTTGGAAGGTTGTCAACAACTAGCACAGTTAACAAGCACACAAGAACAAACTGAAAAACCTAATGTGACAGGTGGGAGAGGATTTTGTACTAACTCTCCTCTGTTGCCCCTCTAAAACTTCTGGACTAGCCAGCCAGCCACCCCTGATTGCCTGTCTCTTTTTATATGTATCTCTAACAAAGATGTTACCTAGTCTTCATTTTTTGGCAGCTACTGGATTGGTTTATGTGCCAGATTGTCAAAACATTTGCTAGAATGATTAACCTGCCTGTCTCTGCTTCCAGGTTTAAGTACCTCTTAGTAGATGTGGTTGCAGGTGTTGTGAAAGACCAAACTCTCTGGTCTGACCCAATGAAAACCAGTAGGGGTAAGTACCTCATACCAAGGTCAACTGCTCCCTCTTGGGGAAGAAATAAATATTGTGACACAGTTCCTGCTCTACCTTGATGGGTCTCGCACTTATTGGCGGATTTGCTCGCCTTGGAGCTTCACGGCAGCCCTCAGCTTGGCCGTTTTTCTGAACCCACAGTCCAAGTCGACGACTCCCGTGTCTGACCAGGAGTTGGGAGGATTTGGGGGGAACCCGGGCCCGACCTCTACTCTGGGTTCCAGCCCAGGGCCCTGTGGAATGCAGCTGTCTAGAGTGCCTCCTGGAACAGCTGTGTGACAGCTACAACTCCCTGGGCTACTTTCCCTTGGCCTCCTCCCAGCACCTTCTTTATCCTCACCACAGGACCTTCCTCCTGGTGTCTGATAATGCTTGTACATCTCAGTCCGCGTTCTCACTCTCAGCTCCTAGTGCCTCTTGCTCCCAGCTCCTCACATGCACACCACAAACTGAAGTGAGCTCCTTTTTAAAACCCAGGTGCTCTGATTAGCCTGCCTTAATTGATTCTAGCAGCTTCTTGATAGGCTGATTAGAACACCTGCAGCCAGTCTTAATTGTCTCCAGAAGGTTCCTGATTATTCTAGAACCTTCCCTGTTACCTTACCCAGGGAAAAGGGACCTATTAGCCTGGGGCTAATATATCTTTTGCTTCAACGAAAAAAAATTACTCTCCTATAGCCATCTGGCCCAACCCTGTCACAATATGCTTTAGGACATTTAGTCATTTTCTGCCAAGATGCTGGCTAAAGAGAAATTCCAGTCCTCTCTTACCAAAAAAGCTTTAATAAAGCTTAAGTGGTGGAGGTAACTCTGGAATACTACTCCTCCCCTGATGCTCTCAGGACAAAAAGCCCAAACGTGACAGACGGGGTTTTTTTTGTTTGTGTAGTGGTTTGAGCTGAGGTCTGGATTCTATTTCTGCCTCTGCTGCAGTCACTAGATAGATAAATCACTTAACCTCTCTATACCTCTATTTAAAGTGTAATATAGGGAAATATACCCAGGGCTATTTTTGAGGCTTAAACTAATTCTGTAAAAGACTTCAAGATTTCAAATGAAGGATGTTGAAATGCCAAGAAAAGTAGTACATGGACTTCAAAAGTAACACCAGATACTATGGGGTGGGGAAGGCTTGAGCCATTAACTTCCCTAGTTCATGCTGTTTAGTCACTCTTTCTGGTCTCTTGGCACCTCTAAATATGTACAGTCATTTTTTTTTCTTCATCCCACCTCTCCTAGTAAAACAGCCTTCAACAATTGATACCTGGCCTGGGCGAAGGAGTGGAGGAATGATTGTCATCACATCAGTCTTAAGCACTCTTATGTTCCTTCTAGTTGTTGGATTTCTTGCCTCCATATTCTTCTTTGTCATGTAAGTTATCGTTACACTTCACAGTCTGAGTGCAGAACTAATCACCACCAAGTATCTAACCCATCAAATGACTGGTCTGACCCCTCATTATGAATGTCTCAAGCTGGGAATTATAGCTTCTCAGCTAGTGTAATAAACAAGTGTTGTTAGGGAGACTAAAATCAAGAGCACAGGTGTCTCAACCTTCTGATCTGCACCTAAAAGCAGCATCTTCCCCTGAGAGGTAGGGTCATGACAACAGACCAAGAAAGCTAGTGACCTGTCCCTCCTACACACTAAATCACACTGTTTTACTAGAACCTTGGCCTTAGTGCTCACTTGACTTAAGTGGGTGCAGCACAATAAGTCATGGAGTTGCACTTGCTTACAGTCTGAATGTGGTCTTGCTATGAGAACATGGGAATAACTTCTAGTGTCTTGAACTGGGTACAAGGTTCTAAAGGGAGGCTGGGGAGTTGACTTAATGACCTGGAATATAGACCAAATGCTGCACCTGCTAAGGATGGTTACTTGGGCATTGGATCTTCCTGCCTCCCAAGAGATGCTAATGACAACTGTCACTCTGCAATGAGTAAAAATTTGAGTAGACTCCTGTCAGACTCTGCTGCTGTGAATGGCCTCTTGACTTATTAGAGGGGAGAAAACTAGTAATCAAGGATCAACTTAGGCCCTGTGAGGCTTAGGGGAATGAACTCTTTAGGTAACTCTAACTTACATAGGGCATAGCTTAAAAACCTTGACATTGCAACTGTTCTTCCAATGGGTGGGGGAGGGGGGATATCTCATTCTTAGAACTGCTGTCTTAAAGTCCTGCATGCCATGAATCCTGCCTGACTTTTGGACTAAACAGTATAGGATTAAGTCCTAGATGAAATAACTGAAGAGAAACAACCATCTAAAAAAGATGGGTAGGTTTTTATAAAGCTTGGTGATAAGTGATGCTTTAATTTTTTCAAATCAGTTTTGTGACTGGCCTATAGCTTAAGAAACCTCCATCAGAATTAAAAGCTCTTTCTCTTCAAGCAGGGCAGCAGGAGAGGCATCCACAGAGACCACACACGAGTCTCTGACTACCCAGCAGGGTGTACCAAGATCTCAGGGCAGCTCTGAGGGAGTGAACCAGTGAGTCTTGAGGGAAAGAAGAGTCCATTACCATGGCTGAACGTCAACTGAACACCTACAAATGTACTAATATTAAAGAATTGCCCTTTTCTACTGAACTCTGAATAGGTCACATTGATTAGATACTCAAGTTCAGTAACTGAAGGTGAATGGCACAGGTGTTCTAAACATATAGTGTTCTTTCAACTCCCAGAGAATAGCACCACTATCTTCATTTGGCTGCAGTCACAGATTATGGCACCAAGTAATCTTGTCATTAGGCTCATGGCACTTCTATCCTACAGTTAACCCATTTTTTGGTTGCATACTTCCAAAAATGAAGAGTGGTAGAGAGCTCTGACTCTAGAATGCAGTTCATAGTCCTCAGTGACTGCCCGGCTTAGTGGGAGGAGAGAGAAAATGACCAAATGTATTAGTGTGGGCTAGAGTAACATACTCACAACTTTCAAGTTCATGCGGCTAGGGTTATTTTAGTACATAATTATCCTTGTTTATAGGTTAGAAGCTAAATAAGTTCTAAAGCTGAGCTCAACCTTTGATTCTTATTTAGCTGCTTTTACGTATGTGAGAATGTGATGTAGGTAAGGAAAGGCTTTTATATTGAGAACAGTACTTAATAGTGTATGCAGTTTAGTAAAGGCTTGATAGCAGCTGGCCTCTGATCTGATACATCAAGCTCTTAGTACCAAAATTTCTTTTAAAGAAGGGTAGAGGCAAACTAACCACCTGCTAGAAACTACAACTGAGGGATATGAATGCATAGGGCATCAGCAACTTTCTCAGCTCTAGACAGCCCCCCTGGCACCATCCTTACAATTTTTTTTTTTAAATGGCACTTCCCTGCAATGGCCAGACTTCAGGTCTCTAGTTCTACATAACTGTGGACTAGCACTGGTATACAACACTAAAGCATTTCTCTCTTAGTAGAACTAGGCAACCCTACTTCTTATGGAAGTTCTTAGTGTCCAACTCCCTAGAAAATCTGGGCTGTAAATATTCAGAGAGCTTCTATCTCTCTCCAGGATTAGTGTTCTCAACTAAAATAGTGGCTGGAAGTTATGCTGCCTGAGAGACAAAGTCACTTTTAATGAAAGCTGGGTGATGGAATATGTAGCCTCTACTATTGAGAGCTAGGATATCCTTGACACTTCATACACCATGACAGTGGAGGGGGGTTTGGCTGGTTCCATCAGCTGCTAATCCTACTATAGTAACATGAACTCTTTAAACAGCACATTCTCACCTTATACTGCTGGAAGCGAGCTGGTCATGTATTTCTTTCCTTCACTACAATTCTGTCCCACTGACCAGTATAAGTGGAAAAATTATACTACCATTGAGTTTCTCCTCCCACTAGCCTTCCCAAGTTGCACTGAATATGTCTCTAGCTTGAAGCCTTCTCATAAACTCTGTGTACATAAGCAACTCCTACTGTACCCAACTAAGTATTCATAACATTCACATAGCTGTCACTGACATAATAAATTTGTCATAGACTAGTGATGAAGTCAGTTTAAGCCTGTCTCGGTTTAGCAAATATCAATCTTTTTGCAGCCACCAGTAGAACGGGTGGCTAATAAACACATCACTGGCACAATTACCCAAGTCTTTGTTAATTTTACATTAAGATATATTGAAAAAAAACAGCATATTTTTTCTGGTTTTTAACAGTTAAACTCCTTAGAGAAGTGTACAAAGGGCATTCTTTTAATGTAAAACTTCACCATAATAAAATGTTTCTTCCTAGACATCCTACTGGCTATTGTTATATGTGTAATTCTTGTCTGTAGGACAGAATAATCCAGTTAAAGATAGGTGTGGCCTACTGCAATTAGAGTAGGGGTGGGCAAACTACAAGCCGGGGGCCACATCCGGCCCTCCAGATGTTTTAATCCAGTCCTCAAGCTCCTGCCAGGGAGCGGGGTCTGGGGCTTGACCCGCTCCACGTGTGCTGTGGCACCACATGGCTCCCAGAAGCAGCAGCATATCCCTCCTCTGACTCCTATGTGTAGGGGCAGCCAGGGGGCTCTGCATGCTGCCCCTGCCCCAAGTGCCACCCCCGCAGCTCCCATGGGCCAGCAACTGCAGCCAATGGGAGCTGCAGGGGCAGCGCCTACAGACAGGGCAGCATACAGAGCTGCCTAGCCACGCCTCTATGTAGGAGTGGGAGGGGGAACATGCTGCTGCTTCTGGGAGCTGCTTGAGTCAAATGCCACCTGGAGCCTGCTCCCCTGACCCTTTCCAGCACTGCAACCCCCTGCCCCAGTCCTGATCCACCTCCCACCCTCCTGCACTCCAGAGCCTGCACCATGAGCTGGAGCCCTTACTCCCCCACCTGTACCCCAACTCCCTGCCCCAGCCCAGAGCCCCCTCCCACACCCTGAATTCCTCATTTCTTGCCCCACCCAGAGCTTGCACCCCCAGCCAGAGCTGTCACTCCCTCCCGCACCTCAACCCCAAATTTCGTGAGCATTCATGGCCTGCCATACAATGCCACATACCCAGATGTGGCCCTCGGGCCAAAAAGTTTGCCCACCCCTGAATTAGAGTGACCTATGAAAGAGATTCACAAGATAGTGTAGCATTAGCTTGCCTATTATTGCATCCAATCATTCTCCCTAATCAAAGAACTGAAGAAGTAATAAAACACCTAAACTGTCATAGGTGGGAGAGACAAGGTAGGTGAGATAATATCTTTTATTGGACCAACTTCTGTTGGTGAGAGAGAGAAGCTTTCGAGCTTACACAGAGCTCTTTGGGCTTGTCTTCACTACCAGGGAGATCGATGCACTGGGTGTCGATTTAACAGATCTACTGAAGATCTCCTAAATCAACGGCAGTCAACTTTGGTACTCCAGCTCCCCAAGAAGAGTAAGGGCAGGTCTACACTACGGCAGGGATCAATGCTCTGAGATCAATCCACCAGCAGTTGATTTAGCGGGTCTACTAATGACCCGTCAAATTGACTGCAGATCACTCTCCAGTCGACCCCTGTACTCTACCCAGGACGAGAAGAGTAAGGTTAGCCTCCCATCGACCCCCCCGGGGTGTAGACCCAGCGGTAAGTCGACCTAAGGTACGTCGACTCCAGCTACATTATTCATGTAGCTGGAGTTGCGTAGTGTAGGTCGACTTACCGTGGTAGTATAGACATAGTCTGAGGTAAGTTGACCGGAGAGTGTCTCCCATCGATGCAGTGCAGTGAAGACATCGGGGTAAGTTGACCTAAGCTACATAGCTGGAGTAGCGTAATTTAGGCCGACTTACCCTGGTAATGAAGACAAGCCCTTCTTCATGTCTGGGAAACAAGCTCATTGTCACAGCTAAATACAAGGTGAAACAGATTGTTCAACATAAGTAGTTAACATACGTTTCAATATTTCCTTTTCTCTCTAATTCCTGGGACCAACATGGCTACAACAACACGGCATACAACCTATTTCAAGGGGCCATTCAAGGTGAAGTTGCTACTTAATACCCCTCCAGTCATGGGGGAAAGGAGGGAAAACTGGAGGGTTAGGGTTAGCCTCTCCATTATAGGGAAAAAAGGAGGAAAAACTGCACAATCCCTTCAATAGTTGAGCCTGAAAGCTTAAATTCATAACTTTGTGAGACAAAATATCATGGACTGAGTAGAGACACTGGATTTATGGCTTATTACAATAAGCTATAACCCACTAACTCCTCCCCCCAGATTTCCCCCCACCTTTCTTATGCTAAATAATCTATTCCACCTTGTATGAGGCTATTAGTACACTCCGAGTAAATTTCCAAGACATGAAGAAGAGCTCTATGTAAGCTCAAAAGCTGGTCTCTTTCACCACAGAAGCTGTCCAGTACAAGATATTCCCTCTCCCACCTTGTCTATCTCGGACCTTGGACCAACACTTGGGGTACTCTCATTTTTAGATCTTTGTTAGCCTGTGGGGAGGGAGAGGGTAGAGAAATCTAGGTAATAAGTATGTTCCATAACAGCAATTAAAATAAAAGGCTAACGATGTAATACCACCACCACAACAAACAGCACTTAACATAGAGAATCTCACTATATCCAAGCTTCTTTAGGTATACTGTAAACAAGCATTGTTTTTATTAGTAGAGAAATTTAGACCTGTGTTAAATGTGTTCATGTCCTTTTGCCATGTAACTTGGGTGAGGCCCTACCAATTTCACAGTCCATTTTGGTCAATTCACGGTCATAGGATTTTAAAAATCATAAATTTCAAGATATCAGATATTTAAATCTGAAATTTCACAGTGTTGTAGCTGTAGTGGTCCTCACCCAAAAAGGGCCCTAAACATGGGATAAAAGGTGAATACTGTAATCCAGTCAGGAGTAGAAGGAGAAATATTTAGGGCTGTCAATTAACTGCAGTTAATCTAAGTGATTAATTCAGAACATTAATTACGATTAATCACAGTTTTAATCACATTGTTAAACAACAGAATACCTATTGAAATTTATTAAATTTTTTAAAATATTTTCTACGTTTTTCTACATTTTCAAATATATTGATTTCAATTACAACACAGAATACAAAATGTACATTTCTCACTCTATATTATTATTTTTTATTACAAATATTTGCACTGTAAAAATGATAAACAAAAGAGATAGTATTTTTCAGTTCACCTCCTACAAGTACTGTAGTACAGTCTTTTTATTGTGAAAGTACAATATACAAATGTAAATTATTTTTTGTTACATAACTGCACTCATAACCAAAACAATGTAAAACTTTAAGCCTACAAGTCCACTCAGTCCTATTTCTTGTTCAGCTAATCACTAAGACAAACAAGTTTGTTTACATTTATGGGAGATAATGCTGCCCGCTTCTTATTTACAATGTCACCTTAGAGTGAGAACAGCCATTCTCATGGCACTTTTGTAGCCGGTGTTGCAAGTTATTTACGTGCCAGATACGCTAAACATTCTTATGGCCCTTCATGCTTCAGCCACCATTCCAGAGGACATGCTTCCATGCCGATTACCCTTTTAAAAAAAATGCATTAATTAAACTTGTGACTCAACTCCTTGTGGGAGAATTGCACGTCTCCTGCTCTGTGTTTTACCTGTATTCAGCCACATATTTCATATTATAGCAGTCTCGGATGATGACCTAGCACACTTTTAAGAACACTTTCACTGCAGATTTGACAAAATGCAAAGAAGGTACCAATGTGCGATTTCTAAAGATAGCTACAGCACTAGACCCAAGGTTTAAAAATGCCTTCAAAAATTTGAGAGGGATGAGGTGTGGAACATGCTTTCAGAAGTCTTTAAAGAGCAACACTCCGATATGGAAACTACAGAACCCGAACCACCCAAAGAGAAAATCAACCTTCTGCTGATGGCATCTGACTCAGATAATGAAAATGAACACGCATCAGTCCGCACTGCTTTGGATCATTATCGAGCAGAAGCTGTCATCAGCATGGATGCATGACCTCTGGAATGGTCATCAAAGCATGAAGGGACACATGAATCTTTACCACATCTGGCACATAAATATCTTGCGACAGCAGCTACAGCAGTGCCATGTGAACGCCTGTTCTCACACTGTAAACAAGAAGCAGGCAGCATTATCTCCCGCAGATGTAAACAAACTTGTTTGACTGAGCTATTGGATGAACAAGAAGTAGGACTGAGTGGACTGTAGACTCTAAAGTTTTAAACTGTTTTATTTTTGAATTCAGTTATTTTTTGTACATAATTCTACAATTGTAAGCTCAACTTGCATGATAAAGAGATTGCACTGCAGTACTTGTATTAGGTGAATTGAATTATTGTTTCTTTTTTACAGTGCAAATATTTGAAATAAAAAATAAATATAAGTGAGCACTGTACACTTTGTATTCTGTGTTGTAATTGAAATCAATACATTTGAAAATGTAGAAAACATCCAAAAAATTTAAATAAATTGTATTCTATTATTGTTTAATAGCACAATTAATCACAATTAATTATTTGTATTGCGCAATTAATCATGATTAATTTTGTTAATTGCTTGACTGCCCTAGAAATAATCTATTTCTGAATCATGGAACAGGACCTCATTGTGCTAGGGCTGTACAAACACGGAACAAAAAGATGGGCCTGGATTTAAAGGATGTACAATCCAAGTGTAAGACAAGAGGCAACAACAGATGGGTGCACATGCGGGAGTACAAGGAAGCAATGAGACAGCCTTTTCTAAATGTACCAGACAGTCATAGGGTTGGGGAAGGTGTAGAACATACAATCAGAGTGAACAATTTTGTGGCGGGAGAATTTAGGGGGATCAGTTAAATGGGAAGGGAAAGGAGAGGGGGCCAGGACAGGGGAGAAGAGGGTAAGATGGGCAGGTGTGGAGTGAAGCTGAAGTGAAGAGACTGTGGGAGGGAGGGGTAGGGTTGGAGCAAACAGCCTGTCAGCACAGGGCAGAGAGAGACAACTTTTACAGTTCTGACTGCAATGTCCAGAGATCTCTGCCTGGGCTGCTTCTCTTCCTATGGGCTGGAGTCTCTAGCTGGCTCCTCTCTGTAGTTCTCCTCCAAGCCACATGGTGGGGGTGGGAGGCACTGCTGGGATCCTAGTGACCCTCGTGAGGCGGGGTCTCCCTGGCACAGTTCTGGGTGCAGAGGGCTGTTGGGGGGAGGGGTAGCCCCATCTGGGCCACATTTTACCCTCTTCCCCCTAGTGCCTTCATCCCTGTTTTGGCTACTTCTGCTCCTAATG